CTTTATGTCAAAAATGCGGCCTTTCGCAAGTACGCCTGCGATCCGCACAAAGGTTACTGTGCGCATTATATATTTTCAGATTATCAACCATATATATATATACTACAGTTTGTTATCGTGTGCGGCACTCACAATAACGGATGTGGCCTATAAGGCTCCCGAGAGGTCCTCAGTTTGGAATGTCTGACCTAAGAGGGTACTCCGCATAGTAGCGAAGTCCGTGTCTGCGTTTTCCACAGATAGGAAGGAAGATCAGTCTACCCGTTAGAGGCAACATGTACAATGCTGCGATAAGGCCGGCGGTGCTTACTCTAACGCCTCCACTGACTTAAAGCTTTTCGAAACAGTGGGTGATCAATAGCTTGCGCACAAGTTCTATGAGTTTTGCTAAACCGATGAGAAATCATGCGACAAGGCGAGTTGCACATGCACATAATCGTGCGAGGTGGATTACCCGCGATGTGCAACGGACAGTTAAAGTGGGTAATCATGGCAACACTAAGGAAATTTTAAAGCCACCCAACTCACCACAGAGAAAATAGCCAACCGAGATGGACAGAGCGACCAATCCGCAAGCTGATGGATAGCTGGAGGAGGAAGGGGAGACGGAAATGCCATGTTGCACTTCCAACGAAATAAACGGATTAAAAACATGAAAAAGCTGATTTCCATGTATCTGACTCGCTATCGACGATCACGGCACAAGGGAAAGAGAACAGGTAGATAACCATGATACATACTGATACGCGTCCACGAGGTCGAGGCGCAACGACATGCAGGAGTGGACGATATCTAAGCATGCACACCTATGAACCGTTTGTTTTATATGGCACAGATGGTGGCGTCTAGTGAAACAATGCAGTTCAGTTTATCTACCAGGGTCCAGATTGAAAAACGAAGGAAAATGCCGACACGAAACAGACTGAGGATTTGGACAAGCAAATGAAGAACAAATAAAAGAAGCTTCAACCGCCGAACTGAAAGATTAAGGGTGGTAAACTAAGGAATAAATTTAGAACACAGTTACAAAAAAAAGAAAACGAAGAAAGGAAAAAGCAAAGAAATAGGCACCGTCGAAAGTTACAAAAGGTGGACCAGCAACACAGAGGAAAAATATTAAAATGAAACTACGATCCGAGGGAAAAGAGAAACAAATGGAGAAAAATGAAACTGGACCAAAGGAAAATGAAAGTATGCTTATCGAGATTAAAAGGAGGAACACAACTTAGTGACCGTTCTGATGACCACGCCACATTGGCTAACGGTTCGAATTGCTGAGATAACTAAAGCTGTGACTTGCAGATCGAGAAAGGTCTGAACGCCACGAGACTGGACCTAAGCGTGGTGCGACGGTTTGTGTACCTCCTTGGCGCATTGAGATATACTAGGTGGTGACCCCGGACTCCTTGAGACCTACCCCTACCAGATTCGTCAATGTTAGAGGTTAGACAAACTCAGTCATTCGTTCCTCCTGTTTGGGAGTTTGAAATAATATGGCGTTCAGCTCTGTAAAAATTAATCGCTGCCAACTCCCCGCTGCCTTTCGAACAGGCTTTTGAGTCAAAGACTAGTTGAGGACTCTAATCGTTCTCTGGTCTACGTCTGGCCACCATTGCAGTATCACAGCCGACGTACAACCATGATTATTTATTAAGACTTCAAGCATATCATGCATCGGCCGTCGCACGGGTTATCAAGGGTCGCCTTATCCGCTGCATACAGCCGGGCGGATTAGCGAAAACATGCTACTGCAGGCTTCTCCCATCTTCCTTCTACACCTCTTTCCCTTATCCCCATCCAACCCCCATTACTAATCTTCCTTCTAGAATTCTTAGCTTAATTGACAGCAGCCGCAGTGCCACTGGAGTCACAGTATCTGCAGCCACCTTCCCACAACACCCACCGGACGCCTATCGGCAACAGTCACTTATAAGGCCACACTCACCCGTTTCGCTGACGGCGTTCAAGCTTCACACGCTAAGACAAATAGCGCAGAAGGCTGCACCCGCACACATGCGGACACGGCGTATGGACATGTGCTGTGTCTGACACAAGGATCAATCATTTTCACAGGTTGTTGAATTAACTGCACCCGGCTTTTCCTCTGGCTATTGGTTGTACACATCCGGAGACGCTGAGGCTGAAACCACTGAGCAAGCTGGAGTTGGCATAGTTCTCAGCAGAAAGGCTGAGTCATTGTTGGTTGATTGGATTTCGGTGAACATCCTTTAGTGTGCGGCTCGTTTGATGACATCAACTAAGGCTGACTCACGAAGTATTGCAAGACGCTGTTTGTTTGTGGTTTCCACTTATGCTCCCATGAACTGCGGTTCTGATGCTACCAAGGACACCTTCAACGGCGGACTGGACACACTAATAGGCAGTGCTACCAGTTCCCATAACAAGGTACCTGTAGGGGATGTGGAAACACAAGTAGGGGGTCTGAGCTCTTCAGAAGCTCAGTTAGGTGGTAAATATTGGCTAACGTCCGAAGGGACGGACAACGGCGAGTGTCTCTTGCAGCTATGTGGGGAGCAACAGCTGTTTCTTAGTAGCATCGCTTTTAGACACGGTGGGAGCCGAAGTGCCAATTGGCGTCCTCTTATTGTTGCCCAGTAATGTATCCAAATCGATTACGCAGCCATAAGTTACAGGTGGCGTGGTTCCGTCCTGAATTGTCGCTGGTTCTGGAATACTTGCGTCCATTCTGATCAGGCCTTGATACTCTGTCGTTTTCCCATGAACTTTAATGGGAGGCGCACCAAGCCTCTCCCCCGATTGGCAACAGAGAGATTATCTCAGTCCTCGGTTAGGCAAGCATACCAGAATGCACAGCTCACCGAACTCTCGCTCTCTTGTCCTAATGACACTGAGCTTCAATGGAATAGGATTTCGGCCTCCATGCACGATGCCAGAGTATCTGCTTGCGGCACTCCCAATCGTCACAGCAGCAGCCACTGGATATCCGAGAGGTCGGTGAACCTGTTGGAATCTAGAAGAAACCTTCCGCTTGGCTCTGGTGACAATGTGAGCAGACGTAGTATTAGGCGCGAACTGAAGCGGAGCCTGCATGCTGAGATAGAAGCATGGTTGAAAAGTATGACTTAAGAAATGGAGGAGATAAGAACAGTAACCAGTTATCGCAAGCTCTTCCAGCTGATCCGCACCAGTGATCCCAAGGAACCAGACGTCAATGAGACAACCAGAGACAGCGTGGGGGCGCTGATTCACAATAAGGAGCGTCGTATGGCTCGTTCGACGGAGCACTAAGGAGATCGTTCCATTTGGCCCCCTGCTTCCGGACCTCTTCCTACTCAGATACTGCAGAAGGAGCCATGGACGGTTAGTTTAGAGTCCTCATTGGTGGCTGAGATCCGAAACGCCATCATAGCCGTCAATGGTCTTCGTCCTGGTGGCCTGGATTCCCACCCACCTGCACTTGAAGGTTTGTAGCCTAAAGGTAACGAGTTTGTCTTGTAATCTGACGGCGCGGGTTCGGGCCTGCTTAGGGGAAGGGCGATTTCCGCAATACCCTTAGCCCACGTGCGACCAGTGGTGGTTAAGCGGCGGCGAAGCGTCGGTACGGCGTACCGGCGTACTGCTGATGCCTTTGCCCGCCTGCACTATTTAAGGATGAAGGTAAGGTCTTCTGCAAAGCACTGACGTCCTTGTTCGAATTTTTCTGGAAGGAAAAGAGCGTCCCGGGTAACTGGAGTGGATCAATTATAGCGGCAATATACAAGAAGGGCAGTCGAACAGACTGCGCCAACCACGGGGGTATTAGCCTAATGCTCGAGGTGACAAAATTACTGTCCTGAATTCACATTCATTGCCTCACTGTGAAACGGGAATCCCGGATTATAGAAGAGCAGGCAGGTTTTCGCCCAGAACATAGATGTATAGACCATATATTCACCCTGCGGCAGATGCTAAAGAAGCGCTACATGTGCCGCTATGTTCCCGGACTTCTACAGTGCGTTCGATTCAGTTGGTCTATACATTCTGTTCGAAATACTTGCGCGGAAAAATGCTCCCATGAAATATGTGAACATTTTACGTGCTTTATTCTCAAACACGACAGGCCGCGTCACGGTCAACGGTGACCTGTCGGACAGCTTTGCGGCAACAAGTGGCGTTCGTCACGGTTAAGCGATTCCCCCATTTTTGTTCAATGTCGTTGTGGACTCCATCATAGTGTTCCCTTACGGAGCCTCACCATGCTGGCGTTGAGGTCTTGTCTAATGAAAGATTAGTTGATTTTGATTATGCGGACGATATCGTCTTGCTTTTCGACGATGTTGCGGTAGCACAATCAACCCTGAATAAGCTCCCCACAGTGATCCCATAACTTGGCATGCGCTTCGCATCTTCAAAGTGCAAAGTATTGCTGCAGGATTACCAGCCATTTGGTGACCCGTTGACCCTTTATAAAGAGGAACCCGAGATAGTTGATCAATTCACTTACCGTGGCACCCACATCAGCAACGATGGGCACATAGCAACTGAAGTCAGTTCACGTATTGCAAAAGTCAGAAACGCCTCCATGAATCTGCGACATATTTGGCGACAAAAAAGAGTTTCCCTCCATTTGAAAGGCCGTGTTTACAAGACCACAGTGACAGCCGTTCTACTCTGTTGGAGTGGGACTTAGCCCCTTCGGTCTGAAGATCTCAAGCGCTTTCAAGTCTTCGATCATCGCTGTTTGCGGAGTATTGCTGGTGTCGGGTGAGACTAGCTAGTCCATAAGGATGATGTGCGTAGGCAAGTATTAGGCAGTAAGAACCAAGCTAGTTCCTTAGAAGAACAGATATCACTGAATAAGTTGCACTGGTTTTGCACGTACTACGTATGCGCGGACACCGCTTACGTAGGAGGGTCTCGTTTGGTCTGTCAGATCAAGGTTGGTGCAAGGCTCGAGGTGGACAAGATTTGACTTGGCAGCGGGAAATGAAGTCACTGACGACCATACTGGGTGCCGTCAGTCCATCTCGACATCCAGGCTGGAGTCGAGGTGACAAGCCTTGGCTCGACACTTTATAGGACATAGCTCGCAGTCGATACCAGTGGGGAATCTGCTGCCGTCTCATAGTCGGATTGCCTGTGTAAAGTGTGCTATGTGCTGAGTTATCTGCAGGGTTATGGCTGATTAGTACGCGGGGCAGTGAGAGCCGCAAAAAAGCTGTCTCGCCGATGCCGCCTTATCTTTGCATGATAGCCAGCAGTTTGTAACGGTATATTGTTGAGAAGGTGTAGGCGCCTTGACCTTGAATGCTTGCTTAGGGCATAAGGTTTTTCAGTAAGTCCACTTCTCTGCCACTTATTATTCATCGTTCCGTAGGTCATCATGGTTGTATGGCAGCGAGGCATCAGTTCAAATGGCTGACGTACTGTTGCTGATGATGATTTCCGGACAGTTGCCTGATGCATTAAGTGACACAAGCGTCTGGTCACGATAAGCCATTGATCAATCGGGCGAACTCTCTACTAGACAGAAAGAAGCACGAAGCCAGTGGGTATGAAGAGAAGTTGAGTAAAGAAGTGTAGGTAGAGCAAGTTAGAAAGACGACGAAGTGAATTACAAGAGGGTCCTTTGCCAAACATTAAACCCACTAAACAACCACGTTTGATGTGACCTATACCGTATAAATGTTGATAATATGATGATGATAAGCTATGATGCATCGCTTTCTACATGCGATGGCCAATCCTTCATTCCGCAAACTACAGTCCGTTACAGTGCAGTGTTGTTTACTCCGTCGGTCTTATCCGTGAATGGTTAAGACCTAGGAACACTGTAAATCTCCCTAGGATACAAAAAGACACTCTGATGGTTCGACTAATAGAGGCGTATAAGGACCAAAGGGGGAGGGGTAATGGACTAGGATGACCGGATTCTATGTAGTTATAAGAACAGTTGATAAGTCGATGCAGCCCTGCAACAGTACTTCGGGGACGGAACAGAATAGACTCTTCGCATTTTGCGGCACAGTAGCTGAGGTGTTCCCCACCTCTAGCTAACATGTATGATGATGATGACTTCGCATCTTGAGTACCAAAACACAACACACCGAACAGAGAGGATATATTGAAAGAAAGTACACAAATTCTAACAAACACTAATATCAATATCGTTCGCAGTGGTTGAGCGATCTAGGAAAGGTCAGTCAAACTCAACAAGAAAAGTATCTGCATACGACAGTCTACCCGTGATCTTGGAATCCGGCACTCTTCCAATCTCCGCTTTTCTGAACAAGCCAAATACCAAATAACCCGTGCGTCATAATCCGCTGCTAACCTGTCACAAAATCCATACAGTCCATAGCAAACACTAGTTGTTCAGAACGCTCACTCGTCCCATGTTTGAACACTGAAAGTTCTTCTAAGGTAGCATGCAGATGACGGACAGAAAAGCTATGGAAATTTTACAGAGGTCATTCAAGAAACATTTGTTCAGCGGCACATTTACCCCAGACAACCGCGAACTTTGAAAGAAACTTCGCTTCGACCCCTCTGGATGATATGTTGAGAAAAAATTGATGCTCCTACACAACCTACTAAATCAAAAAGACACTCCTACCTGTCAAATTTTGAGACAAGGCAAAATACCCCATTAGATTACGCAACAAAAGCCATAGGTTACTTATATCAGAGGACAGAACAATCATGTGCTCTAACGCTTTCTTAATCACATACACCGTCTTGTGGAGCAGCCTGCCATCCACGATCAGGGCATGTTAAACCTTTAAAGCATCCCGCACCATACTCGATAGTTTCTTTGACCTCGAAGTGGTAATATCCATATTCTCGTCCGACAAATCACCTGACGAAATAGTGCAGGGTGGACCAAAAACGTGCAGAGAACATTTGGAAAACTGAAAATGGCGTCTATATTCACTCATGCAACAGCATGATCATTTCTATATATACTAGTCTGTTCTTATTTTAGGAACGGCTTCTTTTACTTTAAAGAAATATACGTATAGTATATTGTTATAGGAACACGAAAAGGATGGCGTCAGTTTTTAAGTCACCTAGTTTCTGACGCAATGAAAGAATGGCCCATGCTATCGAAGTAGGAAGTGGTGATCACTCCCTTCAGCTTGACTGATTGTGGTGAAGGGATGGTGTCCGAGATGTAGAAGTACTAGGTGCCGATGATTCGCTGTCGTGCGGCCGCCATCAGCGGTTGCATGCGATATGGGACACTGCAAGGACACCTAAGCCCATTCAGCAGCGGGCACGCGAACCAGTAACGTAGAAGTTGCAAGTCGAACGAGGTGAAACCACCTACCAGCACAAACGTTTGTGAGAGGACTCCACAGAGAAAAGAATGAAGCAGTTACACCGCTTTAGAGAGGAGATATAACCGATAAGTATAAAGACTTTTCAACTTCCTTGACAGGAATCGAGGGCAAAAAGGCTAGTGTAAACCGCATAGATGCCTCGGCTTCTTGAAGCCAACTCGTACAATTAAGTAAGGAGCACAAACATATAATCCTAGCTTGTCCTTCTTGAGTGGAGCTAGTCAGAATGGCACACAAACTGGAGATCCCACGAGCGCCGGTAGACAGATATTGCCGTTCAGTAAGCACGGTATTACGGGTATGACTTCAGATAACGTTACAGGCTTAATGGGGACGAAAGTATTCGATGTGTCTGCATTCCACCAGGTCAAATAAGGATCGACGCAATGTAGGTAGTGTCAATGAGTAATCAGTAGTAGATATGCATCGAAGTGAATTCGCAGACTGGTTGATTAGATGATAACTGTTTAGGTGAACTGGTTGCCGTACTCATGTGGAGCCAGTGATGGTGGCTGAAACCTGGGAGAAAGGAATCGTCGCGCTACCGATGGACCGGCCCAGTGCACAAGAAAAAGTTGTGATTTTAGACATCTGAGAAGCGAAATGGGCAGCCGTGGAACGAGCGGACGGCTCACGCGGGAGTCCAATTTGACGACACACACTGCTGTGTCAGCAAGCCAGTCGAGGAAGCATCAACCCAATAGACCAATGGCCAATCAGATGTTAGCCAGGAGAATTGAGCATGTGGAACGCTTCTGACCTGGCACAATGGGAAGACAACACATTTTGGACAGCGGAGAAGCAGGTTGATCGGCTATACAACAAGCACATGGGTTACGCTTAAGGCTCAGTTGTGAAAAATAGACAATGGTGGGATCATTGGCCAAATGGGCGGACGGCCAGTCAGACACCACCATGTAGTCTACCCGGAATGGCAACAATGAGGCTCGACGTAAATCTGGATTCAGCAAGTGTGGATCGGTCCAACTTACGAACCAGCACGAAACAACTGCAGGGAGATAAGATCACAGGCCAGATAATAAGGGCCAGTCAATAAATGGACGATAGCAGAATACCATGTGTAGTCTATAAAAAACCGGGATTCTTTCCCATAATCATTCTGATCGCAGCCCAGACTATGTTCTTGATTCCCGGAGATCTACCAGATGGAATCTGTGACAAAACAACGAAGTCGCATAATAAGAATCAACAAAGGTGTACGGTACATTCTAGCAAATTGACGAGGTGAAAAAAAAGAACCAGGTAGTGACAAACAATTTCAGTCGTCGTGATAACACAAAAAGCAGACTACGTACCCAAGAGCTGAGGTTGATAGCGGAAGTGTCGCAATGACCGTGGTTGTCAGTTTGTCGGCGACGCAAACACACATTATAATAGGAGTGTAGGATGGTCAAAGTGAGACAAGTAAGTGTATTTCCATGAAACAATAATGGCTAACTCACGTCAGAGGTTGTGACCAAATCCGTGTGTCCCTTAGCAGGGTAGACACACAGAGTACGCTCACCACGGTGGCATGGATGGAAGACACAAGACTGGAAAAGGGAAGGAAAACTGAAGGTAATTAAATCTGTCTACTCAGGAAAGAGGGAGGGAGAAAAGGCGTTGTTTTTTGTAAATGTGGTATTCCGGATGTGTGAACGGAGACAATGTGAGATGAATAATCGGTCGGTGAGGGAAAAATTCAAGTGTCAATGCTTGCGCCACAGACAGCTAGATGGATGGAGACATGAAAGTATTTCATGCTGTTAAGAAAAGTAGTCAGGATGTTTTGACTCCCTTGTTGGGTGGGAGCAATTACGCACAGCAATCGTGGTTAGAAGGAAACGACTGTGATGCCAGTTTTAGCCTATGCAACCGGACAATATCACACTAGATTAGAGATGAGGAGGAGTAAGCACAGCATCGCAGGTGGAAGAATGGGCAAGCCTCAACTGTGTCCTAGATAGGGTAAAAAGCGAGCTATCGCAACCAAGGCACAAGGGCATGACAGGCAAAGAAGGGTAGAGTCCATAGGAGTAGAGCAAAAAGGGAGGATAGAGAAACGCAAAAGATGCGGTATCAAGTAGGATGGGGTGCATACGGCATATCGTCAAGGCTATGCCAATGCAACTACCCAAAACCTCATGAACAGATCTATCATCGTGAATGTAATCCGGTGTCCGACAAGGAAGCAAAACCGATAAAGCCAACGGTAAAGGCAAAGTGTTGAGCAACATTCAGTAATAAGTTAAAGAGCAAAATTAGTTCGGTTGTGAACCTTCAATTCAATACAAACACAATGTATGTTGACGCTGAAACCTTCGTCGCGATAAGTAGGCGGAAGAGCGATCCCAAGAACAGAGCGAAATGGGAATTAGCAGATGCTGAGATCAGCCTGATATTTGCATGCTAACGATTGACAAAAAGGATCAAAAAATCCCTGATCCGAGTGCCACGACTGGAGTACGCTTCTACCATCTTCTTCCGATGTCAGTCATTAAAAAGTCCAGAAGTAATCAGCGTTAACAAGTGAAAAAATGCCGCCGCGGACGTCTCCATTTTCAAAACAATTAGTACAGCAGGTTACAGTTTTATCATTTATTATTACAGCTCGCTGATAAGCTTCTGATAGTTGCACAGTAACAATTTCGTGCCATAAACAAGATTATCGATGATTGGGAAAGCCGTCCGTAAAGACTAAATGAGTAAAAGGCATTTAAGGCCATTTCTCTCTCCTCGCAATGCCCTTTCTCCTAGCCTGCTGAGTGAGACATTGACGCTGATCACACAACGATGCAATCAACCTATAAGCGGTCTCTCAAACCAAAAGCCTTATCTCGCCATTGGTTCGATTAACGTCCGCACTATGATTCAGATCGGCCAATAAGAAGCATAAATTCCCAATCCGCACTCTTGGAATTGATGTGTGTAGTGGCTCCAAATCACGCGTACAACATAACAGCGTCGTGACGAGTCTCTGATTATATATATATATATACATATATATATATATATATATATATATATATATGTATATATATATATATATATATATATATATATATATATATATATATATGCAGGCACATGTGCAGACAAATTTCAGCAACGATGTAGCACACGTACCACATCATCCGCCACATTGGCTTGGGTTAGAAAACAAATTGGAAGCAGACGCAGCTTACGTACGAACGCTGCGCTGGTGCAGAGTAGATAATCAGCTGACTCGTTATCTTTCGTATGTTGGACCCGCGTGGCCACGCTGGTAGTTTACCAACCCGCTTGGCTCAGGTAGACATGAACGCATGTGCTACAGCACCATGCGCTTAATGTCGAGTACACTCTATCGGCGCCTGTCTCTTCCGTACCCAGCGGTTCTCTTCAACGTTCAAGAGCGCCTTCTCCTGCACCTGGGCAACCGCCATTTTGATCAGCGCAAGCTATTCGCGACGATCACCTGCCTTTGATTCCCAACACCTGAAATAAACATTAGTTCGCGAGAAACTCACCTTGATCATGTCCTAGCAAGGTAACATCAGTTTGCATTAATTTGTTCACATAAGAGCTGCTTGTATATGTGCGCCAAGTTCATGTGGCTGATACGCCGATCCACCACAGGTGCCGCAGCAGAAGTATGCAGTCCACGGCATAGATGTCACTGTGGTCCAGCAATTCAGGGTTTGCAACACTATCTCACCAAACGATGTGCAGAATGCACCGCAAACACTGTTGACGAAACCGACCCACATACCTGACATCCTTCCGGTACATCGTAACGTTATGTTGTGCTGCCGTATAAAGGAACGAACAGAACCATTGACAATCATACCATTAGCCACGTCCCAACGGTAAGCTGGTGATTGTTCTACACACATTGTTACAGCTTCCTAAATGCAGCAGTGGCCTTCAATATGCAGGTACGCAGCCCGCTATTCATCTCAAAATCTACAGACATTACGTTGCCAAGACAGTAAAATCTCGAAGTGAATGCCAGAACGGCGCTGCCTATGTGGATTTGTGGAAAGCTTACGGATTACAGTTCTGGTGTAGGGTATGGTAGACAAACAGTTGGGCTTGTGTTCATGCTGAGCCCAAATTTGGCTGCTGTCGAAGCCAGAGCCGAAGTCATGTGCTACAAATCAGCCACGCTGTGTGAAAACAACGCACAGTCGTCGGCAAACAGTAACATCCGGATGATTGTCCCACAAACCAAGGTTCTCGACCCGAAGCGACAGGTATACACTACCACCATCAAAACGATGCTCCATACGGACACCGTAAGCACAAGCCACATCAAAGGCACAAGATATCATGGCATGAAGACAAATAGTAAACAGGATAGGGGATAAGACGTTGCCTTGATTCTCACAAAAGACGATAGAAAAGTCATCCAAAGTTTGTCCACTCAGCTGAACCCTCGCATGCATACCACCGTGCGGACATTCAAGTAGACTTACAAACTTACTCGGACAACCAAACATACCCAACACCAGCCACAGTGCCACGCGGTTTACCATCTCAAATGCCTTGGTGAATTCTACAAAAAGCGAGTACAATGGCTGGTGTCGCTCTCGGCATTTCTCGTGCGACCGACGAGACGCAAACAACATATCTATGGTGGCGCAGCCCCAACGGAATCCACACTGCTATTCTTCACATGCGGTTCAACGACCTAAGTGACAAGGCAGTTGAGCAGGATTCGAGCAGTCATCTTTTCCACACAACACAGCAGGTTGATTCCACGATAATTCGTAGCACAATGCTTGCTCCCTTTGCACTTGTACAGTGGCAGTACAAGTGCGTACTTCGAGTAAGCCGGTACCGTTGCACTAATTGCAATGCTTGTATCAACGCGGATCCACCTTGTCTCAACACCTCCGGCGGTATCCCGTCGGCGCTGGCGCAATTGCTGTTTCGCAGCATGACAAATGAGTTCTGCGTCTCAAATACGATAACTGTGTCGGTAATACATATCTTTATATCCTGCTGTTGCAGCCCGTGCAACATAGCCCAGTCAATCAGTGAGTATGTTCAAGGGACACATGTGCTCTCGCCAGATCTGCACTATTTCCGCAGGCTGTGTGAAAGCAGCGGGCTGGAGCGGCTGCAACGGAAGAAAGTACACCGCCTTCAAGGAACCACAGAATTCCTTAATTGGCGGCGTTCGGCGCAATATCCCAACTGCTTCGCCTTATACGTCTGTAATGACCTGGAGATTCCCCTGTTTGTCTGTATAAAACATTATTAAAAGATAATATCATTTTTTACTTAGACAAGGTAAGGAGCTTGCCTGTTAGAATGGTGACGACGTGCATGAATCGACCAGACTAACTGCATTTCGAGCGCTCCCGGCTTTACCGCTTCGGAGAGTGTTTGCTGCGTCTCGATTGGCGACTATACCTTTCCCCTAGCTTAATCTTTTTGCGGTGCCTTTAGTTAGCCGGATTGCACATTTTGACAATAAACCTCGCTCATATATTCGTCTTTTTTCGACTTTTCCTTGAGGCAGGACAAAACTGTTAATAACGATCGAACGATTCCGCAATATGTCCATCATGCATTCTTGCTGCGACGGAGCTCTCGAGTCGATGGCCGTAGAAGTTCGCGACACTGACTCTCCTTCTCCGAGTGAGCAGGGTCATCCACATGCGCAGAGAATGCTGTATTTCACTCAGACGCCGACGCGCAAAGGATCGCAATATTACCATGAAACAAATCGGGCCGCTTACAGTTTGTGCGCTCGATAGTAAACTCTGTTACAGTCATCACCTGCTCAAGAACGTGGTGTCAAAGGTCGCTCATGGAGACTATGGGTTCGATATCGCTAAGGCGGGTAGCCATCGAATTCTTCAACTCAATCCTCATCTCCACTGGACCTAGAGAACGAACACTAAATTTGTTTCAGTGCACGGCAGACGAGCCACATACAAAATTACGAAACCATATGCAGAATTTGGTCCGCACAAACTTGTCACCAGTGTCACAATAAGCTTCATGCAGTACACGTGCCATGCACACTTCACGCACGTCAAGTCAGCGGACGGTGACATAGTCGAACAGGTGAGTATGAGCACTCCGTGGGTGTGTCCAAGTAGCTATATCACTCGCACCCAATGCAAACCGGATGTTCGTGATCATCAAACCGACGGTGGCATGGTGTGAGAGTAGCCGGACACCGTACCCGCTGATTAAGCAAATACCATATGGACCGAGAACCAATATCCACAATGCTGCATTACACCCAACGCGTGCGTTGAAATCACTCAACAGGTCGCCCCACCTCTCAGAACGAGTCAGAGGACACCTGAGTATTAAAATGATCCTACGTAGAAAAATAGTTCACCTTGATTGTGCAGACGATACTGTTCCAATGTTTGATAACTCTGGGACGGCCCATTAAACCCCGAATAAATTTTCTGGAGTCAACCCTCTCCTAAGCATACGTTTCGCACATTCAAAGTGCAATGTGGTGTCCCAAGACTATAAACCGCTTAAGTACTTCTTGATCACTGACAACAAAAAACCGGGAACGTTTGGTCAATTCCCCTATCTT